AATTATTGATAAACTATAAACTAGCTTATCACCTAGTATTTTTTACCAAACATAGCCAAATAAAGTTGCTTTTCAAATAAATTTGTTGAATTTTTTATTTCAGCTTATGAGATAATCTTCCCAAAACAAAATGGGACCTGAAAATTGTCCTACCACACAAGTATGAACGACGAGAAACAGCAAAACAAAATGGGACCTGAAAATTTCAACATCAAAACCCTAGTTGTGAAATCCAACTAAATCTTCCCTGAAAAAGAGCGAGGGAGGAGATAGTTTGATATGCAAATGGCGATATCAGCAGATATCAGAGTATCTATAGCTTTGAGTTCATGCAAATTCAGTACCCCTCGACCTCGAGCCTCGTCTCATTTTCCCCCTTCTAAGGTCTGTTCACAGTTCTTCCGCTTTTCTTGGTTTAATTTTCTAAATGCTATGTAGTTTCCATTAGATACTGTTAATGTGTGTGTATTGTGGTCGTGTGTGTGTGTGTGTTTGAGCTGGGCTTCAGTGAACCATTTGGTCCCAGAAGAGTGTATATGATAATCAGCTATTACTTAAATAAATTCATGTTTTCTCCTTTCTTGATCTTGCTGGAAATTGATTACCAGAAACATGTGCAGTTTTAACTTGGACACAATTTGCTCATATGCTTCTTTGGGTGATATTTTTTCGGAATGTCGATTTATGGGTTATGCCCCTAAGTTAATAGCGATCCTCTGTATGGATAAAGGCTGTGATTTGTAATGCATAGTCCTTATTCCTTAAAGTTTCGACGAGCTATTTCGAATGGGCTTTATCTTGTACGTTTATGTGTATCCGTATGTTAAATTGTAAGCTAGATTCCTGCTTTTGATTTGTTTGTTGTTGGCACAATATGGAGAAATGGCCGCAGTCTAATTCATGATCAACATCTCAAGAAATGTCTTGCATGGGATTATCAGGATCTGTATACTGTGTGGCCTTTAAATTCAATGCAATTACTTGGAGTTGGCGACAGTTTATCTCGAGTTTAGAATTACACATTGTCATGGACATAAAAACTGATTCAAACAGGTTTATAGTTAGAAACGTGGGATCTCTACACATATTTATATGCACGGATACACCCAAAAACCTGGTACTTATTTTACAGTTGGAAACATGGGATTCTTACGAACAGCTTAAGTGGACTTGAAAATTTGGCAGAATTAGGTTATAATTGGAGACATGAGTTTTTGCACGTTTTGTTTGTTGTTATAATTGATTGGCATCATAACTAGTTGATAACATCAGTATAATTGATTGGCATCATAACTAGTTGATAATATCAGGCTCCACGAGACTTTTGGTTTCGGCTCATGTTAGTTACTACAAACACTTCAAATAACCAAGGGCATTGATTTGAATTATTTTTCTGTTTTGTTTAGAACCTCTTTCCCCATTCCTAAAAGATATTCATATATGTCCCTTTACTGTACAGGTGTCCTGCAGCGTGTTCACCAGTGGGGCCATACCAAAATGCTTTCGTCATGTACTAAGTACCGATACCACACGTTGCCACTCTAAACGGCCTCTTTGGGTTTTCGGAGACTATAAGCTCTCGCAAAATCCCATCAGCCAAGAATTCGAGAATTTTCTACTCAACGTAATCAAATTAAACTTCTTTGAACGGCTAAACCTGGCATGGAAGATACTATTCCCATCACCCGCGAGCAAAAGGAATTCCAACGCAAACATCGCCAAACAGCGCCTTAAGATGATCTTGTTCTCCGATCGATGTGCTGTTAGTGAAGAGGCCAAACAGAAAATTGTGACCAATGTCGTAAGTGCCTTGTCTGATTTCGTTGAGATCGAGTCTCAGGACAAAGTTCAGTTGAGTGTCTCGACTGATCCTGATCTCGGGACCATTTACTCTGTCACGGTGCCCGTGAGACGTGTGAGGCCGGAGTATCAACTTGATGACGAGACTGGGTCGATAACGAATATCGAGTATAGGGACAGGGGAGAAACATCGGGCTCGGTTGATGTCACTTTTGATTTTTATATTCCCGGTGACAAATCGGAGGATTTTAGTGTGTGAAGGGGAGGATTCTTGTTGTCGTTTTATTTTTCATTTTTTTTCTGCACGTTAGGGATGTGTTTTGTTCGTTCGTCCGATGATGTAACCACTCGGAGCAGAATATATTCTTGTATATAGTTGGGAACGAACTTTAAGGATGAGTTGATTGTTGAAGTAGCTTGTCTGAGATATTTTTTGATATTGTTTTGAAATCCTACATACTTGATAGGATATGCTAACAGCATCATGAATTTGGTTTCTTATATTTTTTTGACTTTGGAGGGCATCTCTAGTGCACTCTGATCTTGCGGGAGGCATTATTGAAATTTGCATGCGACACTAAAAGAAGTGAATCAAACAACAGAAATTCTATGGCACCACGTGTGGCACCATATTATGGTACCACAACATGATGTGGCACATTATGATTGGTGCTACAACTATCACACATCAAGTTGTGGCACAAATCATAATGTGCCACATCATGTTGTGGCACTATAATATGGTGCCACATGTGGTGCTATAGAATTTCTGATCAAAATAAGCATGGCACTAAAAGGAAACAAAAAACAAGGAAGAATAAAAAGAACAAGAAGTCTGCAGCTTTTGCACAAATCCACGGTCAGCCACCCTGCACCAAATTTCCTTCCAACCAACTTTGACAGCTTCCATTAGGACCCATCTGACTCCCAGAAGTCTTGTTTCCTCATGAGTAATGAATTAAAAGGAAAACCTATGAACTTAAGTGTACGGTTCAGTTCTTACAAACTGAACTAAAAATAGAAAACAAGATCACAAACTGAAAGCAAAAACATTAAAGTCGAGGCGAGTAAACTCTTTCTGCAAAACAAATACGCCCCATATAGTGCTAACGGGTATGTGCGTCATGTAACTAAAGATACAACGACTAGCGGCTCAGAAGCTGTAGCACACCAGACTTCAGAGCTCCGACGAACACAAACAAAGTCGAGAACTAAGCACTGTATATAAAAAAAAAACCCACTGATGGTTGTTGTAAATATATATATATATATAAAAAAAACGATCAAGTGTTAAACTTGTCGTTTTCAGGTGTTAACACACCACTACTCCACTTGAAACGGCCAGGTGGAGCTAATACTGCAATGTCCACATACATTGTATATAAGAGGTCCACATGGGTAGAATTAAAACTCGAGTCCAAAACCCAACTCAATTTTTGTTTTGTTTTGGGCCACAATTTTGCAAAAAAAAAAAAGTTGCAACAAAAATATTATAGGGCCAACACCAGCCCAGACTGTCCCAGGTAGGGGTGTTCACGGTCCGGATTGGTTCGATTTTAGCCCAAACCATGATCAAACTGGACCTAACGGTTATTTTTTTTTCTTGTCCATAACCGGACCAGTTTTATTTTTTAACCGGCCACAATCCGGACCGCATTGGACGGTCCGGTTTGGCGGTTAACCTGTTAAATCCAAAATCTTTGTTTTGGGTTTTCATTTTTTTATTTTTTTCATTTTGGGTTTAATTTTTACCTTTCAAATTTGGGTCCAAAAGAGATTATTTGGGCCTAAAAATTAAGAAAAACAACAATAAGAAATAAAAAAATACACAATTCGTCCCATACGCATAAAAATACACATTTCATCCCAAAAAATTAGGAAGAGGAGGTGGGAAAATTTGAAAATAAAAAAACGAAGGTGGGAAAAAGTGAAAAGTTATAGTGTCTTACAAAATTAAGTCAACAAAGGCCAAAAAGTGAAAGTAAATGTATTGTATTTGTCGGCCATAATGAATGATTGAATGTATATATATATTTGTTATAATTTTTTAATATTTACCGGTCCGGTCCGGTTAAACCAGCGGTTTGCCGCAGGTAATCCGTTAACCGGACCGGTTATTCCGGATTTTTAAAAAAATTAACCACCGGATTTTCTAAGCCTTTTTTAACCAACCATTTAACCGATCCGCGGTCCGAATTGACGATTTTTTTCGGTTAAAACCGGACCTTGAACACCCCTTGTCCGAGGCCACCCAAGTTTAACCTACAGTCCAATTATCAAGGGCCAAGACCACGGACCAGGGATTAGGGCCCAAGTCTCAGTCTCGTGCCGGCTAACTTTAATCATTTATTTCTCACTCACCGAAAATCAATTTTAAGAAAATAAATATACCACGAGTATCTGCTCGTAAAGTATAATTTTCCTATATAATTTAATTCAACTCAAATTAAATATTTAGTCATAAAAAAATTAATCATAACCGAGTCAAACTCAAGTTTTTCATAACTGATTTTCCAATGTTAATATTGTGGGATGCAAGTTCTGAGTGATTTTTTGTTGTATAGTGAAGCCCATTCTCAAGCTTTCAAGAGGCTCGTCTTCAGTCCATATGATATGCCCTGTATTATCTTTCTTTGACAGATTTGGAATTTGGTGATTCTCTCTGTCTTGT